TGTGATGCTGCGGAAGGACCCCAGGGCTGTGCATGGGTTGTACTTCCAGGCAACAGCCCAGCCCTCAGTTGTGCTCCAGGCTGCACCCTGATGAGCCAAGAGGACACCAGCAGCACATAGGGAGGACTCGGGAGGAATTTCCAAGCCTGGCAGAGGCATGGGGCTGCCAGAAGCCCTGTGGCTTTATCAAGCCCCAGCACAGTTCCCAAGACGCAGGCACCTGGCCTGATATTAATTCAGGGGACAGAGAAAGCCAATTCTGGGTACATCGCCTCAGCAACTTAAAAACACAAGAAATTTAGATTAATCCAGGTAAAATAAAACATTACTGATCATTGTTAAAACAAAAAATAAAATCTCCCACATTGTTCTCTAGCTCTCTCCATATTTGACATTTTTTTCAACATAAATTTATATATTTCTGTATATTGGACAGACTGAAATATGTAAAAAGTTTTGTATGTCTCATAAAACCTACTGGGTGCCACTGGCACTGTGCTGTGTGGTACCTTGTGTCCCCTCCCCAGTTTCAAGACATGGGTGTCATTCACTTGCTTTAGTAGAGAAGACTGAGTTCAGAGACGCAAACTGTCATCAGAGGCCAGACCACAAAGGGTACAGTGAGTTCTAACTTGTGTCCTTTCATCTTGAAGCAAGTTTGGTAGAGCACACGAGAGCTGAGACAAGTCATGCTGAGCACTGTCAAAACACACACTGAGTCTTGGGTGGGCTCGTCATAGAGTATGTTAGCTCATGTTAAATTTTCCTCTGATCATTTTACATGTATGTATGTGCTCACATGTGCCAACTTTATACACACATTACAGGTGGTAATCAGTGGTCTATAGCTGTTGGATCTGCTCAATAACTGATGTATTGGTTAAGGTATGATTTTCAAAATGACCTACACTTCAAGATAATTGAAATTATGTTTCAAATTAGTCTGAAAGCTCCATTATAAACTTGTTAGCCCTTCACCACCTTTCCTTTAGGTTTTTTGTTTGAAGGTATTAATTTTTAATGCCTTGTTCTTTGAGTCTATGACTTTCAATTACGAGGACTCATGTTGAAGATCTTCTGCAGATGTACCTGTGAATGGCAAGAATGACTCCTAGGCCCAAATCCCTACTCAAAACTAAGATTTTTCTAGGGCATATAGCAAATAAGAACAGTAGCAATCAACACATTACAAATGTTCATCAAATTTAGTGTTGTAATTTTTTAGGGAAACACTTCATAATTCCTAATTCTTGGTCATTAACTCCTAGAAATATTTGGAATCACAGTAATGTTTGTTTTCAGTTAATTAAGAAACTACTTTGGTGTCAATACTTGATGTCCAGGACCAGGCAAACAGACCTCAAGCTTGAGCCTCCACCATCTATGGAAGGATTAAGGTAGGAGATGAGGGCCGAGGAAAGTGTTCATACGCGTGGGCATGCCTCATTTCTCCTTATAAAGCGTGAGCCAACCATTTCAACATAAAATGCACTCCAGAAGTTGAGCCCAAAGACAAGGCTTCCCTGCAGCCGGCCCCAGACAACACTCAGGTCTGGCTTTTCTCCGGTATGCCCCAGGCAGTGGCACTCTCCATGTCTCTTGTAGTGTGGCAGGAGCCCAGGGTGCTTGCCTTCTACCCTGAGGGACAGGGTGGGCCCAACTTTTGTCTGCCCATTGTCACTCTTTCTCAGCCACCTCTCTGAGGCACAGGCTACACAGGTATCTGCCCTGGATACTGCAATAAGGCACATTTTAGAACTTTTCATGCCATTCCGAGAACATCTTATTCCAAATTCTTTCCAATCTCATCCTTGAACACCATTTCGATTTTCATGTGAGTTCAGTGCATTTGAGAGCATCCCTGTCTTCCCTGAGCACTTCTGAGGGACACACATGTGCTAATTTGTAACAGTAAAAGAGAATCAGGGGTGCCAGAACTCTTGAAAGAGAGCTATACAATCGTAAGCAAATGAGCTCCAGGTAAATTTAATAGATGAGCTATAGCATGTGTCAATCTTCTGGGAACTGAATCAGAAGCTACAGGAAGATGTGCATGACAGAGTAAATTACTAAACTACATTTGTCTTAATGGTGTTCTGTTACAGTTTGTGGCTAGTTGTGCCCCCCAAAGCCTCATGCAGTCATGGGGCAGCTTCTGGAGTCTGTGATTGATTATTATGGGTGTGGATGCTGCACCTGCCTTGGAGCAGGTAATTTGCATTACAATGTGAGGAGGGTAGAGAGGCTGGCTAGCTGCCTTAGCTGCTGCCCCTCCCTTTGGGGCCAGCCAAGAATGAAAGACTGAAGCCTTTAGTAACTGTGAGCTAAGTGAACTTTTCCTTCCTTCATTTTGGGTGTTGATTATTTGTTCCAGCAATGAGAGAAGAGTAACTGAGACAGTTCTAGTCACTTCAGATCTTTCTTAATGCCTAGGATGGATTGCTTGGTTGATGCTTATGCGTTTTTGGCAAATGTTCTACCACTGAGATGCACCCCTAGGCTGATACTGATATATTTTAAATTTTTCCTGCAGCATCAGAAATGGTAAGAAACACATAATTTCTACTCTTTAGTAGATACAAAAAGCTAGTTTCTTCTTACTTGTAATTAAAGGCCCAATTTTCTCTCCTAAAAAGAAGAAAAGAAGCCAGGCATCACTGTGGTGGCCCATATGTGTAATCCCATTACTCAGGAGGTTGAGACGGGAAGATAGCCAGGAGTTTGAGGCCAGCCTGGGCTACATAAGCGAGTTCAAGGCTGTGAGATGCTGTCTGAAAAAACAAAAAACAAACTAGGGACAGAGTCCCTGAGAACCATTATAAACCCTAATGGTTTAGGTACTGTGGAAAATGTACAATAGCAAACTACTTTTATATTTGGAAATGCTATTTTTTTCAACATATTATAAAATATTTCTGCTGGATGCTAATTACACCTTATCAGATCATATTGTTTGTATTTTATGGGAAAGAAGGTATACTTCAGCCAGGTGTTTGACCTTCTTTTGCCAGATTTCTCCAGTTCTTATCAAAACACAGAAGCTCAGTGGCTATTTCTAATGATGTTGTATGTTTGAAAAGACCAAACAGTATTCAAGTGGGAAATTTCATTTCATTTACTAAAATACCATTTTAATTGCAGCCCTTTTAATTATCATGTAGCAAAAGGAGGAACTGTTAGGCCATTCCAAGCAAGAGAAGCGAGTGGTCCCTCTGAGTGGAAAACACTGTCAGGACATTGCTGAGGTGCCTCCTGTGGGGTGAAGAGCTTGCACAGGCAGGGGCCTGGCCCAAGAGCTGAAGCCAAGGCCCACTTACCACTTGGCTCTGTGTACTCCTAGAGTTGTGGGTGGGATTCATCATTTGGAATGGTTGGGGGAATGGCTAAAATAATACACTGTAATATATAAAGATTATATAAAATTCAAATTTCAGTTCTTATCAGTAGGGTTTATTGGAACACAGCCTTCCTTCTTTATAGGCCATGTAGCTATTTTTGTGTTACTTGTGCAGCTGAATAGCTAGCTGCTAAAAGCCTAGATATTTCTTCTCTGAGTACCAGTGAAAAAAAGTGCTAGGGTATGTGTTGCTAAGGTCCCTTCAATTCAAAGGTGCTGCCAATTTTACTTCCTTAGGTGAGTAGGACACCTCCATTGAAAGTAGTATAGAGAATACATTAGTTCGATGACATCATGATTACTAAAGAACTGTCTCTTTTGTGTTGTCACCATTTTCCACAGAATAAAAAATCATATTCATTGATTTAGAGAATACACATCTAAACTTCCTAGGTACTGACAACTTTCCTGCGGGGGCTCTTGACTCTAGACAGCAGTATTTATGATTTTAGTAATTGTGTTCTATTAATGTATTATCTTGACCATCTGAAAAATTTACTGCATACAATGAAGTTTTTTTTTTTTTTTTAAAAAAATCAACTCCCTTAGGAATTCACACCATAAAATATTTATTACAAAGTAAAATGGTTTCCCCTACCTTTGGTTATTAAAAATTTTTGATTATCTTCATTGGATACCACTTGCCAACAATGGCTTAATATTATTCAGTCATGAGATAGATGATAGGTGAGAGAACAATAGGTCATAGATAGATAAAGATATAAATGTGTGACTGACCATACTTTACAATGATTGGTTTAACTACAAATCTTGGGTTTGCTAGCAATTAGAAATTTGCTTGCATGTACTTCAACATTCTTTGTAAGTAAACAATACACAAATGAATTCACTTAATTTGGTAATTCAGAACATTGTTAATGAATAGAGGGCTACTGAGACCGTACTGAGGGAAAAATGGGACTGTGGGGGAAAAAGGCAGTATTTCCTCTTTAAAATACTTTGCTCTTGACTTAATAGTCATGACTGCCTGAGAAAATGAGCCAGGTAGACGACAGTATTAAAAACTGACTTACAAAGTAATTCATGCCCAAGGTTTATATTTTACCCCATGTCTCAGATTATGGCTGAGAAGCTATAAGTACCTTTTATAATTAAAAAAGTATCAGATCCAGGGAGAAAAAAACTGATCTTCCTTTATAAATGATTAATAGTTAATTATAAGTAACTAACTGTCCTTGGCACTATAATGGATAAGAGATGCGGAAACCAATAGAACAGAATGCCAAGTCACAGCATGTGGCAAAATTAAAGGTTCCTCAGAGAAGTAGTAAGAGATATCATGATTTCAGTGTAAAAAAATCTGATTACCTCTCAGATGTCACTGTAAAGTCAGAATACTAAGATACCATCCAGAAGGAGGTGGTTTGGTTACTACCCCAAGATGAAAATAATCCCAGAGTCCTGAAATATCCATATTCACTAACTATAGAATTTCTTTCAGTCTCTTTTTAATGTAGAAAATCATTTTGTAATAAGATCTCTACATAGGTTAAAAAAAGCACAAAATAGGCCCCCAAAAGCACAAAAATAGACCATATGTATATATATATATATATATATCTTTTTTACAGCAAAGCTAAAATGTACCTATGGAATACTGAGACTGATGGCTAATCTCACAGAGTTTGAACAGATTGCTTTTTATAATAGCCATGTTATTTACATTTTCCTTGAACCCTGTATGCTTATTTTTTTTTTAAGAGTGGCCCAGGAAAAAGGGAACTGATAGGTATTTTCACTCTTGGATAGTAAAAATAATGACATAATAAAATCCCTTAATCTTATCAGTTTATAAAATTGTGACTGCGCACCTCAAGGGCACTTAAAGGCTCAAGCATCTGTCACCTACTCAACAATGATACAGGCAGTAACGCTGGCAGATACTGTTTGGCAATGTGAATCAGTGATACACTGAATGAAACATACCCAGAAAAGCTAACTCGGAGATGTTCTCACACAGTTTTGGGGCAAATGAAGTCATCCAAAAGAACTGCACCATAGACACACCAAAAGGGGCAGAATTCCTCCTCAGGATCCAGCCCAGTCCTCCCCTGCCCGGTGACCTGTGAGCTATACCGTCACCGCAGGATACATCTTCTGTTCACTGTTGGTGTGGGGGAAAGAGGGCTGGATCTGCCGGTAGCCAGGCTGCAGGCTGTCAATGAAAGGAGGTACCGGTGTCATGGGCACAGAGTCATGCTGCACTGGGTACCCCACATAGGGAGGATGCAGGTACTGTCCTTGATGTGGCACAATCTGGGTGGCCTGCTGACAGTTCAGCACGGAGAAATTGGTGGGCATGTTGACATACACATTGTTCATGGTGCCCTCGGGCAAGCAACAGTTGGTCTGTGATCTGGTTGGGGGTGCCCGGGCTCCTGAGTTGGCGCTGGAGCTGGAACTGGCAGCTGTGCTGGACTGGCGGGAGGATGAGCCCCGGGAAGTGCTGGCACTGGGGATCATGGGGATGGTCTCCATCAAGCGGCTGCCCCCCGGGGCTCTGCTCTGCTGGGGCTCCTGCTTCGGTCGGAGGCATCTGCAACAACAGGCCGCCACAAGGGACCCCAAGATGATAAAGGCAACAAACACGGAGCCGACGATGAGGAATGGCACATAGATGGGAACTGGAGAGAAAGCAAAAACACAACATTATGATTTATTCCAAGAATGCAGAAAAAAACAAGGAGTGACAGGCAGTGGCAATGGGTAAATGAGCAACACTGAGCCCGGAAGCACAGGACCAGGCTGGGCTTACCTGCTCATATTAACAGTGCGCCAGGCTTTATTATTTGCTTAGGAAAGGCTCAAGCCCCACAGACATGACTGATCGGCTCTCAGAAACTGAACTGTTAATATTTACCATTATGGGGGCTCGGGAGATAGCTCAGTAGAATAAGTGCTTGCCTGGCAAGAGCAAGGGCCTGAGTTCAAACCCGGTTCCACAAAATAAATAAATAAATAAATAAATACCATTACAATCACCTAAAGCAATGACAGAGACAAATATAAGATAGTTAGAGCATCTGCAGAGTAATGATGAGTTTAAATTACTCAGAATTTTTCCCAGTAAGTCTTTTACACACCTTGAAAATTTCTCTTTTGTAATTTTTAAGCAAGTATTTTTTAATGGGCAGATAAATCTATAATTTAACTCAGAGACTAAGATGCTACAATTTCTTACAAGAGGATAAGGCATAAAAGATTAAGAAAGAAGAAAAATAAAAACCCTCCACAAATCTAAGAAGTTGGTATCATAGAAGTTAAGAGTAAAATAGTAGTTTCCCAAGTCTGGGAGAGTAGCAGGCAGGAAGGGATGGGAAGAGGCAGGTCACTGGGTACAAAACTACAACTAGCTAAATTCTGGTGTCCTAAGGTGCCATTGGATGAATATAGCTGGTGTATTACTTACCATAAAGAAATTACACAAGTTTAAAGTAATGGATATGCTAATTACTGTACCACTGAGCTGCAGCCAGCCTTCCAAGATATGTGATTGCAAATCCAGAAGGACGGGGACTTACTGAGCCTTGCTGGCACAGTGCTGGCACACAGCCAGGTGGGCCAGAATTTTAGGAACCATCCCTTGGAGGCTGGGTGAGTTGTAGATACTGACCGTTCTCTAGAGCAGCAGGCTTTTTAAATTATGATCCTTTCACTCAGGGTTCCTGGAGTGGAGTATGGGTTTTTAGAATCACAGAGAAATAATGCCTTGTAAGTAAAACTTACTTCCGAGGTACATACTTAAGCAAAGGCTGACACCAGAAGAGCATCCTGATTTTCGATGTGGCACAGAGCTAGGGCTATATATACATAGTGCCCCACTGTCAGGTACAACCTGCTGCAGTCTGTAGCACAGCTGGCCCCTCGGACCCCTGTTTTAATTATCCTATTCCTACAGGCTAACTAGGGAGGACTGTAGCCACAAATACTGGCTTTTTCCCATAGGGTCTCTAAATATTTCATTCTCTAACTTAAGATCAGCCCCCAGCTTTAATTAAAGAGGTTAAAAAAAATAATGGTAAAAAAATGTTTTACCCCTAACAGGACAGTAAAAACTAGGTAACCCCAGTCTCCTCGGTCTGCATAATGAGTACAGGGAAGAAATTACTGTTCTCTTTCCAGGATTTTTAATTGGAAGTGTAAATAACTACACAGGAGTAAAGAATGCCCCGCCACCCTAAGCCCCACCTCCAGCCTACAGGCTTGATTAGGCATGTTGTCCTTCACTTGCAGAAGCCGTGTGAAAGGATTTTAAGGAAAGGGGTTTAAAAGAATGAAGAAGGCGGTCACGCACAACGCAAGTGTCGTAAGTGTGCTGCCTACTGGTTTGTCCAAAGCCAACGCAACTTTTTAGAGATCATTAGAGCCGCACTTAGCAGACACCTTATTGTAGCCATCTGAGCTTTAGCGGATTTCTCCAGGGGCCACACACTCTGCAAGGCTGAGTCTGCAGTTAAAGATGGCACCTTTCTTAAAATTACCCAGTTCTTCTCCCTCCAGATTCAAAGCAGCCCAAATAATGGAACACCATGCTAATAAAACGCCTGACTGCAAAGAGAATGGCTGTCTCTTACCAGGCTCCAGAGACAGTTCCAGAAACAGAAACCAGGAGGCACCAGCCCTCAGGCAGTTCCATGCTTGGGCTCAAGGTGCAGGTAAAGTCATCCACTTACCAGAAGCAGAAAAAAAGAGGAGATGCCCCCTCTGTGACAGGCTTGCACTTTACCTCCACCTCTCACCTGTACCTCAGCGCGCGCGTGCGCGCGCGCACACACACACACACACACACACACACACGGTGTAGGCTCTCCAGTGGAAACAGTCTGAGGTTTCTGAAGAGTGCAGGATTTTTTTTCACGAATTTATTTTCCAACTGTAGCTTTCACACTTTAAAAATATGCAACGAAAAAAGTCAAAGCCACAAACAGCAAGGTTGGGCACAGCTATGCCACGCCTACAGCTAAACCGGTGAGGAGCACAAAATCCCTCAGCAAGGAAAAGGCCCACGTGGCCAGGAGGGGTTGAATCCCCAGGGGTCTGGTAATATCCACCACACACTCACACACCGGAAAGCACCCCCTGAGCTGTTGGCCTTCGGAAGAACGAAGAACGTTCAGGAGAGGGCGTGTGCTAGCCATATCTTTGGGCATCCTTAAGAAATTAAGTGCTGCGGAGGCATGGGATGTGTCCCATGGGAGACAAGGACAGGGCCCTAGACAGAATTAATCTGGGAGGTGTCTGTGGCTCGCAATGCGTTAGGTATCTGATTTCTCTTCGGAAAATACAAGGCATGTAAACGCTTTAGCGATCAGATGGGCACACTGAGGCTCAGGGTGGCAAATTGGTGCCCTGCTTAGCACTAATTAATGGCTGGGGAAAAAAATATAGGCTTCACCTCCTGGCCAGAGGCCCTTTCCTGAAATCTCAGGGCTCCCAATTTCTTTCTCCTCTGCAGCCTCTCAGATCCGTGCTACCTAAACAAAGCCAACCAATCATTCTCCTGTTTCACTGTGTGACCTGGCTTGCCCTACCTGCTGAGCCATCGGGGCCGTCTTTGTCCGCCCGGCCAGGCTCGCTCGCGCCCTGCTGGCGGTCGTTGTCGCAGCCGCCCTGGTCCAAGCGCGCCTCCGCGCTAGAGCAGCAGTAGCGTAACGCGCAGCTGCCGCAGCAGATGGTGGCATCGCCACCGTCGAAGCGCTCGGGGCACTGGAAACCGATGCGCCAGACGCCCTGCGCATCGAGCCAGCCATGGCAGTACTCGCCGCTGGCCTGCGCCCCCGCCGCCAGCACCGCAGCCAGCAGCAGCGGCAGGAGCAAAGCGGCGGTGCGGCGGCGGGCGGAGGTGGGGGGCGCGCGATGTGCGCCCCACATGGCACCGCCCTGGACGCAGACGTCTCCAGACGGTGCAGAGCGTTCTCGGCCACCCCTGGGACTCTTCCTAACTGTCCCTTGAGCGGCGCTTTCCTTACAGGACTCTCTCCTCTGCTGCGACTTCTAGGAGCCGCAGGCGCTCGCTGCAGGGTCAGGGACTCTTAAGGCATCCCCTTCCTATACCGGTTGGGCTGGTCCTGGGTAGGGTTTGCCTTCGCAGAACAATCACAGACAGACCCTTCTCGGGACCCTTGCTCAGGGAGCCGCCGGGGCTGCCGTCCCGCAGTTCTCGGTGCCTTCAACCGCTCCAGGACCCAGTCGGTACATTCCCGAGGGGACGCTCGCCAGAGCTTGTGACCGTTGGGCACGCAGTTGCCGACTTGGATCCAGGTCGCTGCAGGAGGGGTCCAGCCTCCGGGTCCCGCGCTGCTGGGTGTCCTCCTTTATTCGGCTCTCCAGCGGCAAGAAGCAGAGCAGCAGGCGGGGAGCGCGCGCAGGGTTCCGGGCAGCAAGTGCAACGGCCGGCGGTGCTCAGCCTCCCGGAGTCCCAGCTTGGTCCCCATGGCTCCGACCGCGCCCGAGCAGCCCTTGGGGTCCAGCAGCAGCGCAGTTCGGCTCCGCGGGCCTGGTGGTCACTCCCCCAGCGCACGCCACCCCCGGCCGTGCACGGCGCGGGCGAGGGTCCCGGGAGCCAGTCCGGCTGGCGGCGGCCGCAATCGCTGCTGCGCACGAGTCTAGGAGGCAGCTTAGTCCCCGGCTGCAGGCGGGCCCACGGTCCCACGGCGCTGGACGCTCTCCTTCAGTCCGCTGCGGGTGCGCCTTGAGGAGGTGCACACCTCTGGGAACCTCCCACGGAAGTTTCAGTGCTCAGGGCTAAGGGCGCCCGCGCCCGCACTCTCACTTTACTCGGTGCCGGACCAACTCGGACTCCGTTTGCTCGGCGCAGCGCTGCGCACTTAAGAGGACCGGCGCCCCGGCGCGCATGCGTGCTGATACTCCTCTCCCCTGGCAGGACTCCCCGGGAAGCCCGGCAGCGCTGAGCTCCAGGACCCCGAGAGGCGTGGTGTGGGGAGGCTGCCGCGGTACAGAGAGGCGCGGGAGGAAACATTTAACCAATCCAGGCCCTGTCAGCACGGGGACAGCCCTGGTAACAGAAGCAAACTAAACTAGGTTTGATTCTCCAAACTTTCAAAGGACTATAGTGGCTGGCCATTTCACAGAAGAGGTCACTCCGCTTCCAGCCACTGGACTCCTGGCTACCGCAGGTGGGGCCGAGGCCCCAGGAGGAAAACCTAAGGGGCTGGGGTCAGCGCTAAGCACAACTATGTTGATGGGTGGAGGCTGTGGCCAAGTGGCCTGCTGGGACGAGGTCATAAAAGACCATCGCCAACTTCTCTACTGTATGACAGAAGGGGCCACTTGAGCTCTGCCTGTACTTGGGTGGGGCAGCTTATGGGTTGGCAGCAGTGTAAAGCCTCCAACAGCCTCCGTGGCTTGGCAGTGGTCAGATCCACGCTGAGGTCCAGACACTTCAGCAATTCAAGCTTTGGTGACGGAAAAATGAATAGCTTTTCTCTTATGAAAGCTCAAAGGACAGGTGCCGATGTTACTGATGCAGCAGCAAGTAGTTTTGAAAGAACTAGTGCCTCATCCCATGGGGTCAAAGAGGTGGTGGATCTCAATTCCAGGCCCTGCCCTACTGGAATCACTCCGTGTTGCTGTTGCTGATAGTTTTTCTATGAAGTGGAGCATGGATGTGATGAGCAAGAGGGTCCCTTTCGGGTCCAGAGTGTACAAGTGTAGAGCCCAAAGCAGTGTTATTCACAGAAAAGACTGCTTCCAGCCACCATCAGGAGCTGGGCATGGTGACAGCTGGCATCCCAGTATTCTGGGAGGCTGAGGCAATAGGACCAAAATTGGATTGAGCTTGGTGAAACCCTGTCTCAACAAAAGGGGGAAGGATGTAGCTCAGTGACTAGGCTCTGAGTTCACCCCTAGTACAAAAAAATCCAAAACGAAGCAAAAATCTCCCCAAAGCCACACAAACAGAGAGAGAGAGAGAGACAGAAAGACAGAGAGAGAGACAGAGACAGAGAGACAGAGAGGGACAGAGAGAAACAGAGACAAAGAAACAGAGTGAGAGACAGAGAAAGACAGACAGAGATGGGAGAGAAAGAGAGAGAGAGAGAGAGAGAGAGAGAGAGAGAGAGAGAGAGTACTAACAGTACTCTTAATGGGAAGTCTCCAAAGTTAGTCTTCCACTTACCTGAGCAAAATCAAATCACTACTCCAATGGCTGGGGATGTGGCCAATAGTAGAGTAGTGACCTCGGATCTCAAGGCGCTGGGTTTGATTCTTAGCACTGCAGCTGTACCCCGCCTCCAGCTCCCTAACAGACACCTCATTTGCTTCATTTTTCCTGCCTTCAAGTATTGCAGTTTATTTCCTTGTAGGACTTTTGTTTTATTTTGTGTTTTGGTACTGAGGATTGAACTCAGGACTTTGCACTTGCCAAGCAAGTGCTTATGCCGCTGATCTATTTCCCCAGCCCTGTTCTGTATTTTTAACTACATAAAATTATATAGTTCTCTTAAGGTAGTAAATTAACAAAATATCAAAATTGACAAATTATTCATTCTCTAAACACATGCTAAGTGCTGACAGTGTACAGTATTCTGTGTTCAGTTCTGGAAACTCAGCAAGAGAGCCAGACATTGTGGCCATTTCCTTCAAACAGAACCTGAAGCATCTGAGGTAAAACATGGAGATTAGGAAGACAAGAATTGAATAAGCAGAGATAGTAAAAGCACATTACAAGCAGTGAGTGATGTAGACAGGGCCAATTCAAGTCTATAATCTGGGGTTAGGGTTAGGGAGAGCCCAGGAAGACCATCAGGGAAGTGGTGCTTCGAACTAGCACAAGAGAAGCCAGGGAAAGACTCAAAGTTTTGGATTTGAATTCTTTCCTTAGAAGACACTGTGAAGTGACATTTACTGGGGGCTTCCTGCCTGTACCAAGAGTTTCTCAGGCATAGTTTCCTTTAATCCTCACAGCAGCCCTGTAATGAAGACATAATTACTATCTTGGTTGAACTGGTGAGAATCATTTTCCCATCTGCAATGCACAGAGTGTCAGATTGCCTGGGCTGTGCACAATTCTACTGGACTCCAAAGCTGACCCACCATGGCTTGGTGTCATGATGCCCACCACAGGGAGCCCAGGAGTGACTCTGGTCTGAGCAGCAGACACTGGATGAGGAGGTGCCATTTTCCTATGGCAGCATGAGTTGAATTAGATGATATTCTGAAAGTTAATACTACAAATATTTTCCTTTTCAAACATCAATTCAAGAGATTTATACTTAGTATAGACAGTACCTATTTGAAAGCCCTCTTCCACTACCCATTCACAGTGTGTTGGTTTATTTACAAAGAAAGATACTGCTGAGCTTTTCATGCAGGAGTTGGCTGGATGACCTGGTACCCCTGCTGTATAAACGCCATTAAATAATCTATAACTTAGTCTATAATTGGTGATGTTGCAAGTGTGGAATTGTGAGCAAACTCTTCCTCTATTTATTATCCTGTGTCCTTTATACCCTAAATGTAAAGGACAGGCCTGAAATAGTTCATTGTGTTCAATGTTGAAAGTCTCCTTTGTCTCATCTCTAACTTATTTTTAGTTTTTCTTCAAGTATCTAGTATATTCTATTGAAGGTTTAGAAAATATATTGTTCATTGTTTAATGAACCTGTCTCTGGGAGGGGATACTAGGAGATAGTAACATGGTCTTGTTTTTTTCAAGGAAACAAATGTTCTCAATGCTCTTAACAGATGGCCTAAATGATTTTATTAGTCTCTTCTAAGAAACCACAGTAATCATAAATACAGGTCATATAGGTAATAGCAATAATAATTTATTATATTATAATCAACCTAAATGTCAGGCAGCCTGCCAAAATATATTTAAACACATAAGAAAAAACACTCCTCTCTTTTAAAAAGTAGAATTCCATAGACATTCAAAAATACATTTTCAGATTATTTTGCCTTTCAAGAAGTACATATAAAATCACACTGATTTAAAAACAAACTTCTGACATCTTCAGGTCGAAAACCATACCTCTGAAGATATGATTAGTTATAGCTTTGCTAACTGGAGTTGATACAGATCAGATGGTGGTAATCATATTTCATTTGGCTGATGCTTCTTTTTTTTTAAACATTTTATTTTATTTTATTTTATTTTATTTTATTTTATTTTATTTTATTTTGTGTGTGTGTGTGTGTGTGTGTGTGTGGCCAGCTCAGCCCACCAGGGGGCAGGGCTGGCTGGCATGTGGTGTTGGGGGATTGAACCGCGGTCCCTGTGCTTTGCTAAACTTGTTGTTTTTTTTTAAAGTAGGTGCTTTAGACCACTGAGCCATCTCACCAGCCCCTGGCTGATGCTTCTAAGAGCTGTACACTTCTGCTTTTCTGCAAGTTTCAGCAGGACCAGAAGGTTCTTACCATCAGCAGCCTGTATAGGGAGCGTGGTCTTCACCAGGTTCATTCATATAGCCTTCTTTTTTGTAAGATTAGTATTGAAAATTCATATTTAGTTTGCCAGGAGTTATTTTAAGTTCAGTATATGTGTTGTCAACTATGACATCAAACTCAAGCCAGTATGTTAATTTATGGTCTTTTTGTATTTGACTCATGATGGACCCCATCTGAAATAAAACTAGTCACAATTTGGTGGGGGAAATGCTTTTACTGATTTAAAACTTTTCATTGTCTCTCATCCTCCTTGGTTTTTTGTTTGTTTGTTTTGTGCTTGTGACCAATGTACTTAATTACAGAAAAATAATTTTCATATTTTTCTCATCTATGATTAATTCTTTTAAAGAAGAAAAAAACATTCTACATAATTCTTTTTTCCTCTTCCCTACATTTTACCCTATTGCTTTACTTAACTCCTATTTTGATGCTTAGACTGTTGTATTTTCTTTTTGCATATATGGAGTTAAAAACTATCTAGCATGGGGTCTGGCTTTGCTCCCCAGCACCATAAAAAAAAAGAAAATGAAAAAATAATCTGGGACTGTTCGTATTGCCTTCATAGAAAAGGGCGGTATAAACAAATCAATATGTGAGATCAAAAGACTGCAGCACACACAGGACCTGCATATTATGTGTACAATGAATCTGGTGTCTACAGTATGTAAAAGTACTTACAGTTCAA